CTTATGAGATCTTTCTTAACAATATCATTGTCTAGAACAAGCACAAACTTGACAATAGGACTCATAATAATCATCCAAAGTTTTATTCTCAAGTAACAACTTCTATCCTACTTGAAATTCCTTCACACCACAACCACATATTACTCTCACTATAACTAATATCGCGCTATCGTCTTCTTCGTACAGAGTTAATTCCTCCCCAGTAAACTCAAACGCAACACTCGAAAAATTCGCTCATTTGTACAACAAAATTCTTCTTCAATGATAAAATTAACTGCTCCAAACTCTCACTAATTCACTCACAAATCCACGAAAAACACTTCAAATTACTCAAAATTCGCCTAAAATTCAATGTAATTTCATTTTTCCGATTCTACCTCTCATTCACTGAGAAAATCAAATCAAAGTTCCAGCAAATTCCACAAAATACAATAACATAACAACACATGAATTAAAACAACACGGATCAGAAATTAAACATTAAAGAAGCCCTAACATTAGACATGCACTGAAAACCTAATTTTCCAGATATCAAAAAACCAAAAATATTAAAAGTCTTAGATCGAACCTCCAAAAATACCTTAGCCACTTCTCCTAAAACTCGGATCCATCAAAACTTGCTGCCTTCCTCCTTCCGCCGCGTTTAGAGAGAGAACGAAGAAAGAGAAACACACAGTAAAGAGAGAAAACAGAGAAGCTTGTTGAAGAGAGAGAAAGTACGAAAGAGAAGAGAGAAGAGAGAGGAGAGAGAAAATAACCTGTGAAAATTAAAGAGGAGAGAGAAATTCAGAAATGTCTAAAAATAAGAGCAAAGAAATCTCAGCCATACGATTTGATGAACGGCTCAGATTAAAAGTTTTCAGTTTTCAGTTTAACACTTTTTTTTAAATGATCCTATTCCTATACATATACTTCCTCCGTTCCTAATTATATGACACGTTTCTTTTATAACGTTTGCCAACGCACAATTCTAACGATTTATATCTCCCATTATATACAAAGAGTCCAGTGTTTTCCATAAAGTTAATATTGGAGTTACATATTACAAATATAGATAAATATATTCTTTATTATCTAACAGGAATATTTAATTTATAACTTATCGAATACTTGAAGGGGCCGGGTATAGTACAGTATATATTCATTATTTCACTCAAGGGATTATATTGTCTAGAAAATATGCTTCATCGATGAAAAAGTAAAAATTTCAAGCCCGTTAAAATTTAGGGAAATTTTCAATGATAGTCCGCTCATTATCAATGGTAACAAAATATTTGGTAGATTCCCTAAATAGCATTACTTTTTATAAGTTTTCAAGTATTTTAATAATGAAAAGGTTAATTGTGATAAAGAATTTTTTTTTTTTTTTTTTGTCATATGCAATTGTAATAAAGGTTAATGGAACGGTTAATATAAATATTTAACTTATCTAAAATTAACCTTTCCAAAATTGTAATTGGTGAAACTTATTAAAATCATATACGAGTAATAATTTTGAAAACCGGCAACAATAAAGTGGAAACAACTTTTTCTGGTTTTTTGTTTTTGGTTTTTGTTTCAAAAAAAAAGCCAAAAAAAAAACCTCAAAACAAAAAACGATCTCAAACAAGTCCTAAAATTATAAATACAAGGTTATGTCTTGTGCCATGCACGGTCTTTTTAGTATTATATCAATTTTACATTATTTTGATGGATTCCTTCATTATGTTATATTGTTAGTGTTGTTTTTAATATTGGATCTTATCACCTAGTCTTTTTGGGTGGCAGCTAAATTTATCAATACGATTTGTTAAGCATTATTTGTAAAGAGATGTAATGTTGTCCAATAATGACTTACTCTATTAATTTTATTAAATTTAGACATCAAACAAGCAAATGTCAATTGGTGAAGTTTCATTTGAGATTTTGACAAGTAGTACGTAGTACTTGTCAAATTAGTCCATTGATAAGTGTTTTATTTGTCCACTAATCATGGTATTTTTAACTCGATTTTGTAGTCATTTTCCCTCTTTCACCGCTTCTCTAACCCCTTTTTGCATACAATTGTAGTTCTTGGTGTTCCCGTACCTCTTTTTGTGTGTTCATGCTTGTAGGTGTAAGAGAAGGCTTGACAAACTTACTAAAGCTTTGAAGATTAATATTGGAAGCAAAGCACTAGAGGAGAGGGCGTGCACCAGTCAAGGAGCGGGCTCTCCTAATCGAGCTCCAACATTCTGCCCTCTCTGATGCAGTGAGGAGCGGGCGCGCACCTAAGGAGGAGCGGGTGCTCCTCCCTAAGTTCCAACAATCTGCCTTCCTTTGCTGCAGCTAGGAGCGGGCACACAAGAGTAGTTGGTGCGGGCGCTCCAGGCCTAGGAGCTGGCGCTCCTGCATGCAAACCCGATTTTCTTTACGGATTTTTCTATATAACTCTGGGGTGTATAAAAGCGACCCGGGGTTTTTTTTTTTTGGGGAGCTTCTTCTTCCTTTTAGTCTTCTAAGGTACTTAGTTAGTTCTCAAAAACTCTCATTAATTTTCTTAGTTTCTCTCAATTTCAATCATTGAAGTAGTTAATTGAAATTTGTACTCTCAATTTCAACACTTTCTCAACTTTGAAGCTTCATTAGTAAATTTCTTCCTCTATCTCTTGCTCCTTATTTTCAGTTTTTAATTGCTTTGAATTGTTAATTTCCTTCTTAATCTTGTTTAATTGTTGTTGCATGTTCAATCTACCTTGTTCTTACTACTTTTCTCAACTTGTTGGATTTATGTTGAACTTAGATATTGTTGTTAGGTTGTTCTTCACCATGAATTATGAGTAGTCTATTTTCTAGGGGTTGGGTAAAACCCTCAATATAGTCACTAATTACTTGTTGCATGCAACAATTGGGTAATTATTGGGTGTTAATTAGTTGAGCTTAAGTGGTTTCATTGCTTAGTTCTTGTATATGGCCATTGCTAGAACTATTTATCCAAGCTTTCTCAACGAAGGATCGAGAGATGAACTTGAGTTAGCTCCCTTACGCTTAATTGACTTGAAATGCCATGAGAATAGGAATTTCCGGTCAAGGGAATGTTTATGACATCGTGATTTTACTTTAACACTTGTTTTATGCTTTGTGACCACGACAGTAGGTTGTATTCATGATTCAAGTAATCCCTCTAGCTTGAGAGAGTAGTTGGGTGCCTTAGATGACTTCCCCTAATTTATCCCTTTAATTTACCTTGATTGTTGCATGTTAATCGTGATTTGTGATGAAGTTGAGTGGTACAACCCGAGCCCTAGATTCCTCTAAATATTGTTAATCTCCTCTTAGCTTTAATTGAATTGAATTAGTAGAAGTTACTCAAAACCAACCCAATTTAGACTTCATTTAGCTTATTTAAACGATATTACTTGGTGGTTGATTCAACGCCTCTCTTGGGTTCAACCCTTTCTTACCCTTACTATTAGTTAGTGAGACCAAGATAGGAATTTATTATCTTTGGTAGGCTCGACGACGGCCTATCATCCATCCAGTGAAAGGTTAAACGAGTGATTTATATAGCTTTATGGGTTATTTTCAATAAAATATTGTTTTATTCATTAATTTTTTCTAAGATGCCTTTGCTAAGTCGACATCAATAAAGAGATAATTTGTTTGCTTTTATCCCATTATTTCTTCCTTCCCATAGTTATTGGTTTTTACGCAAAAAATCGTCTAAAGAGGTAACCTTTGGTTAAGATATCGATAAATAGACTAAAAGAGATATGAAATATAAACGATGGAAACAAAAAGAATACAGACACAATATGGTGACGCGGAAAACCCCAATGAAGGTAGGTGAAAACCGCGGATGGTTATTTTTGTCCACTAATTCATTATGATTCGGGCCTTATAGCCATTATTGGTACAAGTACAATAATTATTAGGGCGTCTAAAGCCATAAATATTAAGAAATGCACAAGAACAAGATATTAAGTATACATTATAGCTATTGAGAAGATGTATGAACGTTTAGTTGATCATTGCAACACATGGAACAATCGAAAGAGAAATGTACTCGTTTAGATTGTCAAACGGAGCCTTGTGATGTATCTTTGCCTTGTGATGTATCTTTTGATGATGTATTTTGTAATGTATTATTCATGGGTGTTGTATACTTGGAATAGGATGTGTATCATCTGCTTTTATGGGATTTTTCTCTAAATTGAGCTTCTTTCTAAAACTATTTTGCAAATTGGTTGCGTGGCAAAACTATTTACCAAACTAAGCTTCCAGGGTAAAACGCTGTCTCGGACAGCGTTTTATGCCCTGGTTTTTTTTTAAAAAAATGTTCAATTTGTAAAACGCTGTCCCAGACAGCGTTTTACCTATTGTCCTTTTTTTTCTTATTTTCAGATTTTTGTTTTTAAAAAAAAAAATCAAATACACATAAGACGCTGTCTGGGACAGCCTTTTATGTACAAAATTTTTGTTGCACATAAAACACTGTATGGAACAGCGTTTTATGCAAAAAAAATTTGTTGTACATAAAACGATGTCTAAGACAGCAGTTTATATACAACTTTTTTTGTACATAAAACGTTGTCTCAGAGAGCGTTTTTCTGCTTGACTGCAATACCAGCAGCCAGCAGGCTTTCTTCTCTAATTTCTGCCCCATTGCTGCCCCCAACACACCACCCCCAGCCTTCAATAAGCCACCACCCTCAACCACCACCAACCCCTACCGTCGACCACCACCAACCACCACCTCCCGCCACTTTCGACCACCCTTATGCACTTCAAAACACTCAAACCACCCCCAACAACACTACAACCACCTCCACCACCAGCCCCAACCTTACCACTACACCACCGTCGACCACCACCAATAGCACCACAACCACCATGAACCACCACATTAACCACCACGGGCCATTGCTTCTACCCCGTTTCTCATTATGGAACCCAAATGTCTGTTGTTTGATATATATCGGCCTAGATGGATCTATTTTGACTGACATAAGTCCGATTTGGACAAATAAGAAAATTAAACTTCAAACCACACACATATTCATTCAAAAAACATTTATTATATTAATAATGTAAGTGTTATATACAACATTCTAGAAAATCCAGCTACAACAAATAAATCAGATAATACTATCCCGACTCATTTATTCGGGGTAACGGTTCTATATCCTGTCTATCGGCCCTTCATCTGACATTACGCCGCTTGTAATGAGTAATGGTGGTGAATGGGTCTCAGGGCGGTGGGGGAGTCTGCTGGCTAGACAATGGGTCCTCCTGGGTACCGGTGGGCGTAGTATTGTGGATGATGTAATCCTCTGCGTCTCTGGGTGACGTAGGATCACCTCCGCTGCTACTCTGGCCGAGATCAAACTGTGAATGGACGGAGTGGCCATCATGACCGTCCCGCTGGTGGACGAGATAGCCGTGACCATATCTTTGTAAGGTAGCCACGCCCATATCTCGCACCCGCTCCACCTGGGCTCTGGTGGGTCGGTCTGCAACGGCAACTGATACTACATCAACCATCGCCACCATATCCGCCGCCTGCAGTAATCATCGATCAGTCAATTGTATAATATAGAAATTTAAAAATTGAGGACAATAAGTAGAATAAAATAAACTCACATATCCACTGATGATGTCATATGCTGGATGGTAATGTGTGGATGGTGGTGTGTAGCTAAGGTTGATGAAGCGTCGTGTAATACACCTGTACCACACCATGTACAGATCATGAGGATCCATAACGCCCTGCATCGGATCATCTCCAACGACGAACTCCACCGTCGCTGCCATAGCTCAAGGAAACGCCAATGCTCCAGTGCCCAGTTTTTCTCCCTCTTTCCCCAATGGTCAATGCCGTGAAGGCGTACACTAGTGTCAGACTGCTGGGGGATAGACTGGCGCAGTCCAAACTGTAAGATGACTCGGTCGGGTAGGTGACTCTCCATAACCTCGAAACAGATTATGGGGACCTTGGCACGCCATTCTGCCTGATGATCCAGCAGATGTGCAGGCATGACATCTACCAAGTCAGGTACATATGGATCCCATGTCATCTGCAATAACACAGCAACAGTAAACCATGAATTGGTTAGTCCACAAACAGTATATACTATACATAAATGTTTACAAGTATCTTTTAAGTTACCACCTGATCCTCGGTGAGTCGGTCAAGGGCGACTCGGTAGTACGGAAGACCCCTCGCCGCATGTGCATGTGTGAGTCTGTGGACCACCCACCTATGGCAACAAATTGTTTTAGTTTGTCATCCAGCAAAATGAAACTGTATGGGGGCAAAAAAGAATGACAAATGTTACAAACCTACAACCGTACGCCTCATCAGATGTAGGGAGCGGTGGAGTGATGTACGCCTGGTACTGCTCGTCCCGGTCCTACTGTCCCCGACGATGTACAACAGGCCTACCTGGTCTGCCTACATGGATGTGCTCCCAAGCCCATAACTGTAATACCAAAATACAAAACTATGTTAAGTATAACGTAAGTCGTTTCCAAACTAGCTTGTGGATAATTAGGTGGGTTACCTGAAGCACAATCAGAGGTCCTCCGATCTCGATTGAACCACGGTGGGAGGCTCTACACAGGTGGCGATACAACGTCGCCAAACAGGCACTACTCCAGTTGTATCCACAGATATGATCCCAGTCGTGGTCTAACAGTTGTAGGTAAATAAGCTGGATATGGCTCCCGCTCTTGTTGCCGAACAACACGCCCGATATGAGCAATAACAAGTATGCTCGAGCGTGTCTCTAAACCGTGGCATCATCAGCGTCCGTAGGCAGCGCATGGAAAGTATCGCGTATCCAGCCGGTCCTCAACCTGGAGCCCCTAATCTCATCGGGACCCGGTTGAATCCCGAGAACCCGGGCTACCAAACCAACGGGATCGACTAACGCATGTCCTGTCACCGCAGTCCCATGTATAGGAAGGCGGGTGAGTATTGCGACGTCCCGCAACGTAACGGTTGCCTCCTCAACAAGTAGGTGGAAGGAGTGCGTCTCCTGTCTCCATCTCTCCACTAGCGCAGTGACAAGCGCTCGATCGATCTCTCTGAACGCTATACGATGAATACCACCAAAGCCAGCGTACTCGACGTACGCAAGAATGCGTGCATCGACAACCCAGTCACCCATAACCCTAGTAGTGTAGTGCCTGCAAACCAGCATCTTCGCTTCATCAACCTGAAAAATCATTGTACGACCGTAGTTAATATTAGATAGTACATCAATGTATAAAAAGAAGTACATGAAATAACGGATGAAATATTACCGTCTGGTCCCATATGTCAACGCTCCAATGTTTGTCCTGTAGTGTCAAGACAAAAGGGTCAACAGGTTCGGGTGTCCTATCTGCTCCGTCCATGATATCTGTTCATTGAAATCGTTATATACCAAATATCAACACAATTACTGGATTAGCAATTAAACATAAGCTGCACGAGTTAAAGGCAAAGATAGAAAATTTCAAACGACATCCAAAATAGAAAATATAAATGATCCAAATGTTACGAATGTTACAAACTTTAGATAATCTGATACAAAATAATTCTACTTTCTACTACTACAACAAATAACAAATACAAACTTAGGTCCTATGTCGGTCTAGATGGACACGTTGTCCGGTTGTGACCCTGCTGGTGACAGCGGCTGTATTTCCTTGGGGGCCGGTTAGTCTCATCCATTTCATAGCGTATGCGCTTTGACCTTGGCCTCCCTTTTCCACGTACCATGCTGTCGTTCGGAATGAGTTTAGGGCCGACGTCTGCGTCCAGGTTGTCTCACAGGGGATAGGACAAAATTGTGGTGCATAGGTGTTCTATAGGCCTTCGATTGCAGCACAGGGTCCACCCACGGCCGCTTTGATAGTGAATACGTCGCACAGACTGCTAGAACATGAGAACATGGGAGGTGGAATATCTTTGGTTTGTTGCATGTACACGATCTCAACTGAAAGTTAAAAGTATGTTTATGGCCTCCTTTACTACCAAGTCGCTCCCTCCTTTCTGTTGTAACTTGGTAAATATGCAATCGGCGGTTATACGCATCCACTCTATGATATCTGGCTTTTGCGGTGTTCTTCTCTAGAATGGCAGTGACCTTGGGGGGTTATGCAAGTCCCTGTTCACACCTAGCCTCAGAAGACTCCCTTCTCAAAGTGAAATACCTGTAAACTCTGCGTTAAGTTAACTCGACAAGGGATATGATCGGTAGAAACCGAACTCCTTTCAACACATTGTTAAATGTTTCAGAGAAGTTTGTAGTACATATCCCATATCTGCGACCAGTGTCGTGAAAGAGAGACCACATCGTGAACGGGACTTGAACTGTATACTCCATGGCCTTGGTACATGCCTCACCAATGAAACACAGATCAGCTTGAAGTTTTTTTTCCTGCCTTTGGTACGCTATAGCCTTAAACATATCTCTCATGTCGTTGCTTTTCACGTGAGTCTTCAAGTTAGAAGCTATGTGGCGAGCACAAAACCTGTGATAGGCTCGCGGCTCGGTGAATCCAACGTTAGGATCATTCATTGCTGCAATGATCCTAGGATGTCGATCAGATATAACACAGAGGCCATCTCGTTGCGTGACATGATCCCGAATGCAGCCCAGGAACCAAGACCAGCTGGAAGTGTTTTCCCCTTCAACCACGACAAATGCTAGCGGAAATACTTGGAAGCTTGCATCCACACTTGTAGCAACCAACAGTGTTCCTTTATAATTCCTGTACAAGTGCGTCCCATCGATACAAAGAACAGGCATACAATGTTTAAAACCGTCGATACAAGGACCGAAGGCCCAAAACACTCGTTCAAACACTTCCATGTTGTTGTAGTATACACCATCCACCAGACCTTTGTGTTTCCATATGACAACGGTTCCCGGGTTTGACTGTTTCAGTGCTTGCATGAAGTGCGGAAGTTTGCCGTAAGAACTCTCCCAATCCCCAAATATTTCAGCTATAGCTTTCTCCTTGGCATACCATGCTCTTCGATATGGAACATCGAAATGAAATTGCTTGAGGTGATTTCCTGCATGAATTCAACTTTTAAGGACGGATCTTTCCGCACAAGGACTTCACATACTCTGATATTATGGACGAATCCAAGTGTGGGTGATCAGTAGATAGTACATCAGTGACACAGTTCTCCCGGTGCGGGCCTTTGTACGTGACTAGGGTAAAGCCACGCGAGTGCTCACTTGATTTGGTACCCCGTAGCATCCAACCACATTTCTTCTTGCACCGCAAATGAAGGACACTCTCATTCGATGTCACTGTGGTGTAGAATTGGTTACTCTGTATAGAATACATCTTCACCATTTCTTAAAGCAGTTTCTTACTTTCAAAATACATGCCTTTCTCAAATTCTTCTCCGGGAACAAACGATGTATGGCTACCCGATTCGGCCCCCCAATACTGATTAACTCATAGTTCTCGTTTACCTGACTGAACCAAGGTACGGGAGTTCTAACCAGGGGCTCGCTAACTTCCATGTGTGCAGGTTCAACATCCATGTTCTGAAGTACATCTTCTCCTCTCCGCTCTCGGCCTCATCATTTGTATACACATCATACACAGACAATTCGTTATTCACAATAGTTTCAAGATGATTTGACACAAGTTGAGACGGCGATGCTTGAACGTCATCTTGCAGAGGCGAATAACTATGCAATTGCATCGGTGAAGGTGTGACGGTGTTTGATGTCGAAGGCCCAAGTTGGCCGGTCATTGCCACATATGCCCCCCCATGTACAGGTGAAGCTATATGAGAACTAAACGACATGTGAAATTGATCGTCGTGCAACATTCTTCTAAAAGATCCCATCCCATATTCAGTTGATGGAATGTCGTGTGAGGGCACTTGGAAGGGCTTTGTGTTTTAACCGGAAATATATGTAGATTTTTGTTCTGGCCGAGTACTTTTTTGGTACATATAGGCACCATTTCTACATATATCTCAGTGGGAACACCCTTCATTGCAACAACGCTCCTCAAAGCTTTCAAATGTTTATTCGTAGAAACAGGTAACACTTGAACCCCATTGCCAGTCTCAAACCTCATTTTAATGTTTAGTTCAACAATCCTTGGGTTTGAACCTATACTACTATGAACATCGTTCATCAAATCATTGAAAGTCATGTTCGGTTCAAGTGCTAGTGGTTCCATATTTCCTCCACTATACTCAACACGGGGTCCATCGAACATAATTTCACCTCCTCACCGGCATAACAAAACTACATTTGTGCAGCCATATTCTACATAACAACCAAAATACATTACACTTAAAGGCACTAAATCATCCCTAAATCGCCATAATTAAACAATAATGTAGACATACTTTTCAATTTACAACAACTTAGTATCACTAAATCACCATTAATAAAGAATAATGTAGGTTATCACAATCACTCAAAAACTAACAATTATCAACCATTAAACCATTATCAACAATTACCAACACTACCAATTCAACATTATCCAAACTATTATCAACACTAACAATTCAACAATTACCAACACTAACAATTCAACATTACAAACACTAACAATTCAACATTATCAACACTAACAATTCAACATTATCAAGATTTTAACCACAATTCCAAAAAATTATAAACAAAAAACATAAACCCTAGAATTTTAAAAACCAAAGAGAGATTGAGTAAATACCAAATTCGGGTTGAAGTGAGTCTAGGTTTTCGGGGCTTTCGACGGCCGGTCGTCGGAGTGAGACGGCGATGGAGGTGGTGGCCTGAAAGGAGAAGCAGAAGGGTCTTGGAGAGAGAGAGAGATTAAGTGAGGGAATGGAAGTGTGGAATGCAGAAGGAAGAAGCTCACTGTTATAACCGCAAGAAATGCTGCCTGAGGCAGCGTTTATTAACAACATTAAACGCTGTCTCAGGCAACGTTTCATGTTGAACATTAAACGTTGCCTGAGGCAGCATTTCATTAAGAACATTAAACACTATCTCAGGCAGCGTTTTAGGGTCTTTGTTTTTTTTTTTTAATTTTTTTTTAACTATAAAATACAAAAAAAAAAGTTAAAAAAAAAAAGTCAACAGGTAAAACGCTGTCCCATACAGCGTTTTACACATTTAATTTTTTCTTTAAAAAAACCAGGGTATAAAATGCTATCCGAGACAGCGTTTTACCCTGGAAGCGTAGTTTGGGAAATAGTTTTCCCACGAGTCTAGTTTGCAAAATACTTTGCAAACAAAGCTTAGTTTGAGAAAACGTCCGCTTTTATGGCTAGTCTTGTGCTCCTTTTACAAGCCTTTAAACAATAGAAGTTGGTTAGAGGAAGATAAGGACCGGGTGACTCTACTAGAAATGAGCCAAATACCGATGGACAAAATCCATCGGTAAAAGTATAAAAGTATAATAATACGTCGGCAAAATCGAAAATACCGATTGAAAAACCATCGGTAAACTTAATACCGATAGTTTTACCGATGGCTACAAACTATTTTTACCTTTATAAATACCATCGGCTTTTTTTTTCCGATGGTCAAAACCCATCGGTGTTTTCTGAAAAGCCATCGGTAATTTTCTTAAAAATAAATAAATTAATTAAAACCGCTACCCACCCACTACCCCCTGCCTTACTCATACCTCCTACTGCCAACTACCCACAACCATCCACCACGCCACCACCGTAACCCTAATCCACCTACCTCCACCACCGCAACCCTAATCCACCTACCACCGCCGTGAACCACTTAACACCACTAACCACCACCCGAAATAGTACAAAATCAACGAAAAATCAACCCACAAAAATCAACCCGAAATTAACAAAAACCAAACGAAATGACCCTCAAAATCAACCAAAAAATCGAAAAACAACAAAGATAAAAATTGAAAATCAACCAAAAAACGAAATTCAACCCCAACAATATGAAAAACACGAAATCATCCCATAAAATAAACCAAAATCAACACAACATCGCCGAAATTAACTATAAAACAAAGATAACCACGAAAAATCAACAACCAACAACGAAATCAACTAAAAAAGCAAAATCAACAAATAAAATCAACTAAAAACCCACGAAATCAACCAAAAGCTAACATACCTTCAATTTGTCACATACTTAAGGTTTAAATGGTCAAATTCGACCATAAAACTCCAAATTTATGGTCGAATTTGACCAAAAAAACCGAACACCACTACAACACCGCCGCAACACCGCAATGGACAACGCCACAATACCGCAACAATCAAAAGGAGAGATAAAGAAATCGAGGGGAGAGAGAAAAAATGGATGGAGAGGAAGGAGAATACCAGAGAGGGAGTAAGAGAGATGGCGTTAGAGGAGAGAAACGGAGGAGAGAGAAAAGGCGTGATTGGAGAGAGATGGAGGAGAGAGAAAATGGGAAGAGAGGCATGAGTGGAAGAGTGAGAAAGAGTAAGGCATGAGCTAGGGTTAACTTTAAACCAAGATTTCGTTTTTTATTTATTTATTTATTTATTTATTTATTTATAAATACATGGCTTTAAGCCATTGGTAAATTCCGATAGCCAAAAGCCATCGGTATTTATTTTATACCGATGGCTTTAACGCATCAGGAAAAAAATTAATTTTTCTTTCAAAATATAACATTTACCGAAAAGCCATCGGAAAAAATATACCGATAGCTTAACCATCGATATTTCTCACAATACCGATGGCTTACCAAAACCATCGGTAAATTAAATATTTACCGATGGATTTTTCTAGCCATCTATTGTTAAATACCATCGGTAAATGAGCGTATTTCTCATAATTGTTAGGAAGTGGTTGTTAGCATCTTGACTTGGTCACTTGACGAATGTGGACTAATATAGGTCATATATTCACTCCAACAGCTTGCTTGACTTGTTTTCGGCCGTGAGATATGCTCTCCATATTTTTTAGGAAGCACTAATAATTGCTTTAACCCATTCCGCAGCTTTCTGGCTTCATCTGGCGGTATTGCGTCATGTTTCATCTTCTAGCGTCGAATTTTGGATGTTAGCTTCAGAGGTCACTGCAATAAGTCGTCAGATGAAACAACAATCATCGTAAGTCAAGTATCTGATGTCCATCGTATACGTCCGTCGTTGCTAGATATTAGTGTTGAGCATGCCTTGATTGTCTCGACTACTCCCTTGATATTATCTTGTATAATATTAAACGGATACTAAGATTGACATATGTTATTTTTTTCAGCCCCGTTTAGTGGCTCGGGGCAAAGATATAAATTGGGGCCCTATTTCACATGAAATACTAAAAAAATTTGAAATTTTTGGGTATGCAAAAAAAAAGATAAAAAAAGGACATTTTATTACGATTGAAATCAAAGTCTAAACATTCACATGAAAATATTTCTACGAGCATTTCTGGACGCAAAGTCACTAATAATCGTTTCTACATCAATATGTTCTAACATTTTTTCTCAATACATAAAGTAGATAGACCATTCAACCTTTCTTGTGACATTGACGATCTCAAATAGTTCTTTAGTAACTTCAACTTTGAAAAACTTCTTTCGGCAAATGCAACTGTTACCGGCATAGTTAATAGGATTCGATATGCAATGAAAACATTTGGATAGCAATCTGCAGCTTTGACAAATTCAAGGATTTCAAATGTTGACATCAAATCATTTGGCAAAGTCATTTGTAACACTTTCAATTCAGAAAAAAGATCATCTGCATCAACATCAGAAAAATTATTATGAGTAAAGGTAGTTTTAAAATTTGTGCAGGATTTTCTCAAATCATCATTATCCAACGATTTCAAACTTTTTGCATCAAACAAAAAACCAAATATGTTATTAAATACCTCCAATTGCTCAAATCTATTTTTCAAAGAAGATATTTCAATATCAACAACCACCAAAAAATAATTGACTCTAAAAGATTCCTCGGGTGATTGTTCCTCATCATCATTTTCACTCTCAATTTCATCAAATTGCCTCTTTCTAATGATACGACGCTTTGTTGGAAATGTTGGCTCTATATCCATATCAAGTGCAAGGTTTTTGGCAATTTCCAAACTAGCTTCAAACCCTTCAATTCTATATTTCTCAAAATATGTGATTATACCCTGCACTTCATTCATTACAACTCCAACACTCATGGATTAAGATTGCAACTTTTTACTCACAATATTAATAGCAAATAAAATGTCATACCAAATTACCATGCCAAGTAAAAATTCAAAATTTGCAAGCGAATTAGCCAAACTTTCAGCTTCACTTTTTGTTTTAGCAATATTAACATCATCATGACAAGAATTGTACAATTCCAACAAAGCTAATCTAATTTGAGGATATTGAAATCTTATAGCTTTAACACTCTTAATTCGACTCTCCCATCTTGTATTACACAAAGATTTAACTATTAAACTTGGCACATTGTCAACTAAAATCTTCCACCTTTTAGTGGAATGTGCAAATAATGTGTATATGCGTTGTACAATTCTAAAAAAAGATATAGCTTTAATGCAAGAATGTGCCATATCTGAAAGAGTGAGATTTAAACTATGACAAGCACATGGCATGTATAAAGCCCTTGGATTAATATCAAGCAATCTCTTTTGGACCCCTTGGTGTTTTCCTTTCATATTAGAGCCATTATCATAACCTTGTCCCCTTATATCATCAATATCCAAATCAAGAGACTTACAAACATTTAACAATACATTTAAAAGTCCCAATCCAGAAGTATCATCTACTTCTAAGAATTCTAAAAAAAATTCTTCTATTTTGATTTTATCATCTGATACATTCATGCATCTTACTATAAAAGTCATTTGTTCTTGACGACTCACATCAGGGGTACAATCAAGGATTACAGAAAAATATTTTGACTCTTTTACTATTTTTATTATTGAAGTCCGAACACCATGGGCTAAAAGAGAAATAAGCTCATTTTGAATTTGAGGACCAAGGTAATGACAGTGAATTTCTTGGCTTTGAATACGTCTTACATGATCTTGCATTATAAAATCAAATTCAGCTATCATTTCAATTATACCTAAATAATTACCATTGCTATCATCATAAAGCTTTGCACTAGATCCACGAAAAGCTAGATTATTTTTAGCTAGACATTTCACAACAGATACAATTCTAATTAAGACTTGCCTCCAACGTTCTTTTTCCTTTGAAATTGCCTCTTGCAAGTCTTAATCAATGCCTTTGTTCTTTTCTAATCTCACTCTTGTTTCATTCCACGTGTTCATATTAGTCATATGCTCAACACTATTTTCATGTAATTTAAGTTTCTCACTAAGATGTTTCCAATCATTCACACCATCATTTGCTAAAAAAGATTTGTTATTTTGAGATGCGAACAATTTACAACATAAACAATATACTTTATCTGCTGCTTTTGAGTAAACCAACCATTTTCTATCAAAAGTCTCACCATTGCTAAGCCTCTTAGTATAATAGGCATATGAAAAATGCCTTAATTTGTCATCAATTGGAAACACAAGGTTCAAGTCTCTTATGGGTCCTTTTTCAATTAAAATATCCCTCCCTTTATTGTCAAGATTACCCCAATTATTAGGATCATAAAAATCGAAAGGAGGGACTTGTACTCATTAACATTGGATGCATTTGGTGCATCCATTGGTTCATTCATATGAGTCGCATTCTCATTCGGGTCATTGGCATTATTAACATTGTTTAAGTCCTCATTAGCTTGTCATGATTTTCATTTTCCCCCAATTCATGAGATGACTCGTCTACTTGTACTACTTTAGTAAAAAATTTGTCAATGGAACCCTTTTGAGATTCTATTAACTTTTCAGCTCTTTTTCTTTTTTTCCTCTTATCATTACCAGATAAATATCTTCTAGGCAACATTATATGAAATAATGAAAATTAATAAAAGTATAAAAAAGAGCAAAAACACCTGATAATTGAAGATTTAACACCAAATTCTGCCCAATGCCTCAATTTGAACAATTGCACTCCAAATAATATCTCGAATCTGAAATTCTGAAAATACAATACATGTCATACACTAGTATTTTTAGGAAAATCAATTTATCAAACAAATAAGAATATAATTAATGTTGAAAATCAACCAATTAATCTGAAACTCGGAAGTTGGAAGCCATTGTTTCACCAAGGAACCAAACTCAACCAATTAATTGAATTTTTTTTTCCAATTTTTTTCCCCAACTTCTGATTGTTCTTCAACTCGAAAACAGCTATAAAAATTTAAAAAAATAAAATTAGACGAGATACTTTGATGAATTAAGGAGTATATGCAAGTATTATATATAATTAGGCAAAATCCCGTTGAAAATTGATGAGCAAAATTACCGTTTTTGATCGATTTCCTCTTCAATTGAATCTCCATTCTCGAAACAACCCCAATTCGTCTGACTGAAATTGAAAATTGTGTACAAATACATCTTGGGGATTAGATTGAAGATTGAACATTTTTTTTGGAGAAATAAAATTACTTTGGAAAGAGAATATTATGGCCGAAAATTAGGGGAAAGAAGTTGAGGAGATTGTCTGAATATTAGGAAAGAAATCGTTTCTTTGAATATCTTAATTTATGAATATCAAATTTTTTTTGTTTTTTTTTTATTTAGGGCCTTCAAACTTCAGTCCTTCATTTCAGCAACGTGGTCTTTTTTTTTGGGGGCCCAGGGCGGTCGCCCCAGTTGCCCTGGGCCAGCGACGGGGCTGATTTTTTTGTGTTGTTTTATCCTTCCAAATCCCCCCTTTTCCCCTTTTTTAGCCAATTTCATTAATTACCTACTATAATATATATAAAAAGTATTCATCAAATCATATATTGTGATAGTTTTGATTCACATACTTTTTATATATGTAATAAAATAATTTCTATACGTATTACTTTCTTTTTTTGAATACTAAAGTTAATCCATTAATAAATTGTCATACCACATTTACAAAAGAGAATTGATTTTGAAAAATACATAAGATATTGAATCAAATAAAAGTTTCTTTCATAAAAATTACGATCGCCAAGTAGATATTACACTGTGGAGCATCTCTCGCTTATATCGCTGGAAAATACAACCTTGTTAGAGAGACAATCTAACGACCTTTTATAGCCGTGAGGATGTTTTCCTTCTGACTCATCCAATTGTGTTCGAAAACTTGATAACCTTTGCGATCTCGCAAAAATTTTCACCAATGAAATAATTTCACGACAATCTTTAGATCTATTATCATGGATTCAAAACTAAGAAATTTCTCCCTCGAAAAGAGGAGATAAACATTGCCTTTCGTAGGAGGTCGAAAAACCCTTGTCTTTCAAAGGAGATAGGAAACCCTTACTTTCGAGGGAGAAAAGTTCCTCTTCAAAAGAGGAAGCATTATTATAAAACTAAAAGAACAAAAAAGAAGCAAAATAAGAATTGGGGCTTTCCACCGGTTAAAACTGATGGAAGCCCCTCCAAAATAAACAATGGAGGCTAGGGTTTAGAAGAGAGGAAAGAGGAGAGGGGAGAGAGGAAGCATTAAGCAAACTACCTTGTACATAATTCCATACGTATTACTTTATATCTTATAAATACTACTCTGTATATCAATAGCATAATACCATATTTAATGTGTGTGTGTGTGTGTGTGTGTGTGTGTGTGTGTGTGTGTGTGTGTGTGTGTGTGTGTGTGTGTGTGTGTGTGTGTGTGTGTGTATATATAGAAATGGGATCATGTGAGAACCCATGGCTTAGGTGAGAACCATTTTAAAATGAGAACTCATCTAACACCATTCATTTTTATTAGATGAATGGTTCAGATTTATTGTTTCATTAGTGGGAATTCACGTGGGCCACCTTCATTAATTGTAATGATTGTTTGTATTTTTTTTTTTTTTTTTTGTGCATTGGGACACAAAATCTGTCAAAAGCTGTCATTATTACATGCTTTTTATTATTTATTGCATTGAAACATGTTAACTTGCATTGGAAAACCAAGAGATTGTTCAGTAAAATGCAAGGTTCACGTAAATTCGAACGTTACGTTAAAATGTAGTTGAAGTATACGCCGTTAATGATGTTTCGTAAAATATATCAAGTCTTTCAATTTATAATGTTAATGTTTCATATATATTATTGCTTGTTTCCTACAGTTGGGCTCTATATGAACTAGGTGTATTGTGATTTCTTATACCTTATCTGATGTTTCAAAAAATATACCTTATGTTTCATTTTATAGTGTTTATGTTCCATAAAATATATGTGTTGTTTCATATACTAATGATATTGTTTTATACATAAAAATCATTGATGTTTCATATAATATTTCATTCGAATATTATTTATATTGTTCCAGAAATAAGAACTATTGTCCCATAAATATTATACATTGTTTCATACCATATGTGTGAAATATACCAATGACTGAAATGCGTGTTCCCAAGAAAATTAAAAAGCATGTACCAATGACTGAAATGCGTGTTCCCAAGAAAATGCATGGGAAAGTGATAATTAATCTCAGCCATCCATTATGTGTAGTTGGTGTACGTTAATGATGTTTCGTAAAATATATCAAGTGTTTCAATTTATAATATTAATGTTTCATATATATTATTGCTTGTTTCATATAGTTGGGCTCTATATAAACTAAATTTACTGTGATTTCTTATACCTTATTGATGTTTCAAAAAACATACCTTATGTTTCATTTTATACTATTTATGTTCCATAAAATATATGTATTGTTTCATATACTAATGATATTGTTTTATACATAAAAATCATTGATGTTTCATATAATATTTCATTCGAATATTATTTATATTGTTCCAGAAATAAGAACTATTGTCCCATAAATATTATACATTGTTCCATACCATATGTGTGAAATATACCAATGACTGAAATGCGTGTTCCTAAGAAAATTAAAAAGCATGTACCAATGACTGAAATGCGTGTTCCCAAGAAAATGCATGGGAAAGTGATAATTAATCTCAGTCATCCATTATGTGTAGTTGGTGTACGTTAATAATGTTTCGTAAAATATATCAAGTCTTTCAATTTATAATATTATTGTTTCATATATATTATTGCTTGTTTCATATAGTTGGGCTCTATATGAACTAGGTTTACTGTGATTTCTTATACCTTATTGATGTTTCAAAAAACATACATTATGTTTCATTTTATACTATTTATGTTCCATAAAATATATGTATTGTTTCATATACTAATGATATTGTTTTATACGTAAAAATCATTGATGTTTCATATAATATTTCATTCGAATATTATTTATATTGTTCCAGAAATAAGAACTATTGTCCCATAAATATTATACATTGTTTCATACCATATGTGTGAAATATACCAATGACTGAAATGCGTGTTCCCAAGAAAATTAAAAAGCATGTACCAATGACTGAAATGCGTGTTCCCAAGAAAATGCATGGGAAAGTGATAATTAATCTCAACCATCCATTATGTATAGTTGGTGTACGTTAATGATGTTTTGTAAAATATATCAAGTGTTTCAATTTATAATATTAATGTTTCATATATATTATTGCTTGTTTCATATAGTTGGGCTCTATATGAACTAGGTTTACTGTGATTTCTTATACCTTATTGATGTTTCAAAAAACATACCTTATGTTTCATTTTATACTACTAATGTTCCATAAAATATATGTATTGTTTCATATACTAATGATATTGTTTAATACATAAAAATCATTGATGTTTCATATAATATTTCATTCGAATATTATTTATTTTGTTCCAGAAATATGAACTATTGTCCCATAAATATTATTTATTTTGTTCCAGAATTGAATGATATTCCACATACAGATTTGCTCTTTTTTTGCACTGCTTCGAAAATTCTACCAAAAAAAATCAAACGAACTCCAAAAATTCTGAAATTTTGTATGCTTATTCTACACAAAAAAATAAGCAGATTCAAAAAAAGAATCGCTTCAAAAGGGTTTTTTATGAGAGATAAATCTTCATTTGAAATCTGTCTTTCCAGATTTGCTCCTTTTTTGCACTACTTCGAAAATTCTACCCAAAAAAATATCAAACGAACTCCAAAAATTATGAAATTTTGTATGCTTATTCTACACAAAAACATAATCAAATTAAAAAAAACGCTTCAAAAGCTTTCTTTATGAGAGAGAAATCTTCATTTGAAATATGCCTTCATTTCTTTCTCTTCAATGGCTAAATTAAAATGAAACCAGATTTTCCATTTTCTCTCTCTTCAATGGCTGAATCTCTTGGTTTTATAGTACATAAATCGTTGTTTCAATGCAGAAAATAAGGAAAAAAAAATTAAAAAGCATGTACCAATGACTGAAATGCGTGTTCCCAAGAAAATGCATGGGAAAGTGATAATTAATCTCAGCCATCCATAATCTTATAATTGATGGTGCAAGATTGGTTCTTATTTTAAGGGGGTTCTCATATAAGCTTTGGTTCTCACATGATCCCTCCCCTATATATATATATATATATATATACGTACACATACATATATATATACATATATACATATATATATATATATATATATATATATATATATATATATATATATATATATATATATATATACATATATATATAGGGTCGGGATTCGGTGAGAACCACCCTCTATGTGAGAACTCACCCCTTATGTGAGAACAAATCTCAACCGTTAGATTGTATTAAATCCAATAGTAAATCCAATAGTTGAGATTAATGATATAAACCTCCTAAAAACCACGCTTAACTATCTTTCTCCACCACGCTTAACTGTCTTCTCTCTCCACCACGAAGCTTCATCAATGGCGTCTAATTAAAAACTCAACCTCGATAATTTCTCTCTCCTCTTCTTAGCTTGTTCACAAGTACACAATTTCCATCGATTATTGAGGTTTGTTCATTCTCTAAGTTTTGAATTATTTTCGTTAAAATTTCAATTGTTATGTTCTGATTATTTTCATTAAAATTCAATGATGTCAGTCGTCTAATCTTATTGAATTGCATGTTAATCTTTGTATTTAAGATTTATTATTATATTCTAGGAGAACTTTCAAATTTATTGTTCTGGTAATTTTCGAATCATGTTCTGATAATTTTCGAATTTCCTTTTGAATTTTTGTTGAAATTATCGAATTCAATACTCTAATGATTTTATAATGGATTTTTTTAACATGAGTGGACAAACCTTTGTCCAGTTCTCCAAGAATGGACTGACCTTTAAATCTTCCCATTTTGGACAGAAGTTTGCATTTTTTTCTCCCAAAATGGACCAAACAGGTCACCCAACCTATTATATCAGGTAAAACGCCACTTGTCATTTTATCATTGGTCAACTTTTTTTTTTTTTTTTTTTTTTTTTTTTTTTTTTTTTTAAAAAAAAATTTCCCTTTCCACCTTTGATCCCTTTTCCCTTTCCCTCAAGCCATGTATTAGTATATCCATCTTTAACACGCCGAGTGCCCACCAGCAGAGTGGCCTGAAGTCTGCAACCCAGTAGACACTGAGTTAGCTACGACGCCAACCCGGCCCCGATCCGACGATCTTCTCCACACTCTTCCTCTTCACCATCCTCTCTACATTTCTGTCTAACATCTGAGTTTATTTTGACAGAAAAAATTATCCTATTTTCTAGTTGACCAGCAATAAGTAAACTATCACAAATTCATAATCAATGCCATTCAGAGCCAAAATTCAATTGCAGCATGATTCAAATTCATCACCATCCCCAACACCATTGGTACATCAATATTGACATTTGCATACAATTTCCGAATTAATACAATTTCAACTTTGCATTTGTTACGAAAATCATCACAAACAACCCAAATGAATTAAACAGCTTCAAATGAGCGACTAAACATACTAAATACAACAATTGGGTTATTA